TACTTATTTTCCTCAATAAAATGCAAATAAATTAATACAAATTCTTTAAAGTCGATTTCTTGATTTTCTTTGTGATATTCTGTCTCAGCATGTTAGACTACACCTACCATTAATATTACAGACTGATCGAGTCTTTATTAGTGGCCAAACCAACAAAATCAGCAAGGGATCAAATACTTGTTTTCCCCACTGTATATAGTGGGGTCAAATTTTTTTTTGAACTGGAAATGAACAGAAAATTTAAGAAATTTGAACATTCTAACACAAAACAAAACAAAAAAAATTACATCTCAATATTCAAGATGTTTAAATGTAAGCAAATGTGCGATATTGAGCATGTTAATTGCTTTGTACAAAAGGTCAGATTTTCCTCATGCCTAATCTCTTGTACTGAAGCGTGTGATCAGAGGACACTCTGATAGATTTTATCTAAAATGGATCATAAGGTTTTACACAAACTTGTGGAGTCCATGCCAGCTGGAGTGCACACTGTCATTAAAGCAAAAATGGGAGGAACCAACGATTAAGAAACTCTGAAATTCATGTAAATACTTCAAAGATTCTACTTTTCACTCGTATTGTTGCTGATAATATCATTTGTAATGAAAACCTTTGTGTTACATTGAAAAAGAATGCTAAACAGACTTTCAGACTTCTGGACCTCACTATATATTTTTTTCTATCGTTTTAGATATTAATCAGATCTCAGACAGATGATGGCCATAGGTTTAAACTTCATTTAAAATTAGGTTAGACTCTACAGATGAAAAGGGTATTTTTTTTTTAAACAATAGATATCACAATCAATCTGTGAATGGATGGCTGATATCCTTAAAAGTATTTCTTGTATTGGAACGGTTTAAAAAATTGACAATTATTTATACAAACAAGGCTTCATCTAATTAAATATGCATAAATTTGCATACTTTATAAATCCAAAAGTCTAGTCTGTTGATGCCTTTACTTCACTGTGAAAACACTCTCAAAAGAAAAACTTTTACAAACAAGCTTTGCATGGACATGGATGGGGTTGTGTAAAGTGGTTGGAGCTTAAAGCCTTTATCAGAGTTGCTAAATATGGTTATTTATATTGTTAAATAAACTTTTGCACTCAACTATATCTGCAGTAAACTTTTATTGCAATTCTTTCTTACTCATCACTTCATTTCCAGTTCATTTATGCAACAATGCACTGTCAGGAAATTCTGTCTATAAGGATATAAACCTTTGTACTGTTTATAGTGAGCTTTTGTTAAAATCTGAAGAAAATAATGCAACTTCCTATAAATGTTAAATGTGAATTTCTGAGGAAAGACTGTCACATGTGCATGTGTTAATAAGCACAAAATGCTTTCTAAGCTTGACCCATTATTGCCCCGATAATGTTCATTATACAGTATGTTCATGTGATTATATTATCTTAAGTAGAATATCTGAAATAGTTGTGCTAACCGACTTAAATAATGGCATCACAAAAATATTTTAGATTAAGCAGGGTTGCCTAGTCTTAAAGAACTAACAAACCAAGCGAAATCAGAGAAAACATCTTACTGCATTAATAGACTATTGATCATGTTTACAAGTCTAATCATCTAACTAATCATCTAAACATTTAAACCTGTAAATGATCATTATTTAATATTGTTCTTTTAAAAAAAAGTGAAGTTGTAAGATGTCATGATTAGTAAACCGCAAAATTTTCATACCTTTCTACATAATGCCATGCAGACTTTATCACAAACATGAGCCTACTCATATCTCATTCAGCTAGTAATCACCATGCCCAATTTTATTATCTATGGACCGCATTTGCCCTTCAGGAACTCATTTCCTTCCCTTTTTTGGTTTTCTCCTTTGGTTCCACTTTTGCACCATTTGCAAATTTTCCAGGCATTACACACATACATATAACCTTAGCTAATGAATATATGCCTAGATGTACATCTGTGTTGCATCAGGGGTCTCAGTCACTAACTTGTAGTCTGCTGACTATGAAGACTTGTTAAATGTTGAAGTGTTGAAAGTTTTTTGTAACTTACCCTTCTTTGGGGAAACGCTGTGTAATTTCCACCTGATGCTGACTGACAAGCTCAGCAGTTTTAGCATTGAACACCTGTGGAGAAAAAAATAAAACATCTGGACCAACTACCAAAGTTGCAGACTACAACTCCCATGAACTCCCAAAAACTCATCACATGACCTCCAGTCAAGCTCCTATCCCTGCTCAAAGTCACCTGATTATTAATAACACTTTTTTTGCAGTCACTCTACTCACTTTAAGTAACTTGGACTGTGGATGATAACTAGAATTAAGACTAATATTGACTCCTGGTTTCTTCCAAACTTTGGAAATAAATTAGAGACTGCTGTCAGATATCCTCTGGAATGCCAAAGCAGCAAAACATGTGTTCAGGATGTCTCAAAATCAGAAGGCAGAGAGGTAAGACGGATGAAACTAACTGCCTTGAAAAATCTACTCAAAGTCTACCGCCAGTAGAGTGTAGAGTGTCCGTGACTAACAATCACATGTAGTGGATCTAATCTAACGCCAGTAGAGTGTCCATAGGAGTGGGTCAATTTAGTAACAAAATCCACACCAATATCAGACCAAAAAAGTGATCACAGACCATACTGTCCTGCAAATATTGGTGGGTGGCCAGAGGAGAGAGAGAGAGGGGTGAGACCAAGATATGAGTTGACACAGTTGTTGTTGTTTGCCTTGTTGGCACATAGGTTTTGTTGGCAGGACAAATGATGATAAAACAAAACAAAGTGCTTTGCTTGCGACATTCACACTTTTCTGCATTAATGAATAGATTTTTCCAGAACTATTTTACGCACTGCCCATAGGTGCTCTATATGTACGGAGAAGGACCGGAAGTAAATCAATGTGTCATCTATATATATCCAATTATACTTATCGTCATAACAGGTCAACAGAGGACGCCATTACCTCAGCCCTTCACTCTGCCCTGGCAAGGCTGCTTGCTGAGTCCTCTCCTCTACTCCCTCTTCACCTCAGACTGTGTACCTGTACCTCTGACTGTACCCTATCTTTATTAATGGGACTGATTTAGAGCCGGTCTCTACCTTCAAGATTCTGGGTGTCCACATCTCCGCTGACCTTTCCTGGAACCTGAACACCTCCTCTTTCCTCAATGAGGTGCAACAGCTGAGGAAACTGAAGAAAGCTCACCTTGCTCCTCAGATCATGGTGAAATTCTACTGTTATACCATTGAAAGCATCCTTACAAACTGCATCACAGTATGGTACAATGACTGCATAGTGTGTGACTAGAAGGTACTACAATGGGTAGTGAGAGCGGCACAAGGCCAACTGGTGGAAGAACACCGGCAACACTTGGAGGATCTGGACGGTAAATTGAACCTGATCTCCCAGGCACTAGCCACCACCGCAACACCACACATACCTACACTAGTGACTAGACCATTAATTCTCCTGCCGGACAAGCAGGCAGGTGAGGCATCCAAATGTACCCACTCTCCATAACCGAACAATATGCAATGGAGCAGTATATCAAGGAAGCGTTGCAACAGAGGAACATTCATCCTTCCACATCTCCTGCCTCAGCAGCCTTCTTTTTCGTGAAAAAAGGGGGTGGATTTCAAGCCTCTATAATCCAAGTCACAGTCAAGTACCAGTATCCGTTACCGCTGGTCCCTGCAGCAACCACATTCAGCCCATATATTCACCAAGCTTGATCTCCACAGTATAAATAATCAGGCACAGATTCGGGAGGGGGATGAGTGGAAAACATTTTACCAATGCCGCATATGCTCTCTTGCACCCCCTCTGTTTTCCAGCACCTCATCAATGATGTCCTGATCTCTCAGGACATCATGCTAGGAAGATACATCATTACCTACATTGATGACATTCTGATCTATTCTGTGTATTGGCTTGAAAGTGAAGTGACTTGTGGCTAAGTATGGTGACCCATACTCGGAATTTATGCTCTGCATTTAACCCATCCAAGTGCACACACACACAGCGTGAGCAGCCTTTTTTGCTGCGGTGCCCAGGGAGCAGTTGGGGGTTCAGTGCCTTGCTCAAGGGTCTCACTTCAGTCATGGTATTGAGGGTGGAAGAGAGCACTGGTCATTCACTCCCCCCACCTACAATCCCTGCCGGACCTGAGACTCAAACCCACGACCTTCGAGTTCACCTTACAAGTCCGACACTCTAACCATTAGGCCACAACTGCTCCCATGTTTGCTCATTAGGGATAAATTTATAAGTTTAAAATGTATATCCTGAATATATATTTTTCTTTAAATCTGCTTTGTGACAATGGCCATTGTTAAAATTCCTATACAAATAAAACTGTATTGAATTGAATTGAATCTACTCCCCCTCCCTAGAGACCCATGTGCTCAATGTCCCCCAGGTCCTTGAACACCTTCTCCAGAACCAGTTATTTGTCACACATCTCCTTCCTGGGGTATATCAGCACTGATGGGGTAACCATGGACCAAGCCAAGGTGTCAGCAGTCACCAAGTGGCCCACACTGAAGACTGTGGATTTGCAGAGGTTTCTCAGCTTTGCAAACTTTTACCAATGTTTCATCCAAGGCATCAGGTCCATTGCGCATCACCTGACAACACTCCTCAAAGAGGGAGCTAAATGCCTAGCATGGAACCAAGCAACCGAGGAGGCTCTCAACAAGCTCAAGACCACTTTCAACACAGCCCCAATCCTTGAACATCCCAACCCTTCTCAGCCTTTCATAGTGGAGGTAGATGAGGTAGAAGATATATATATATATATATATATACAACTGGGAAAATGGGAGTGGTTGTGGACTGAGAATCCTGGGAGTTGGAGTGCCTGAAGAGCCAGGCAGTTGTGACAATATACACTACATGGCAAAAGATTTGTGGACACCCAAACTGTTGCCTCAGTGTTTGAGTCACACAATTATATAGAATGTCTTTGTATGCTGTAGCATTACAATTTCCCTTCACTGGAACTAAGAGGCCCAAACCTGTTCCACCATGACAATGACCCTGTGCACAAAGCGAGCTCCATAAAGTCATGGTTTGCCAAGTTTGAAGAACTGGAGTGTCCTGCACAGAGCCTTGACCTCAACCCCACTGAACACCTTTGGGATGAACTGGAACACCGACTGAACCCCAGACCTCCTCACCAACATCAGTGCCTGATCTCACTAATGCTCTTGTGGTTGAATGAACACAAATCCTCACAGCCACGCTCCAACATCTAGTGGAAAGCTTCCCAGAAGAGTGGAGCTCATTATAAGATGAAGGGGAATAAATCTGGAATGGGATGTTCAACAAGCACATATGGGTGTAATGGTCAGGTGTCAGGTGCTTTTGTGCTTCCCCACTCCAAAATAATAACTATATGTTTGTTACTGAGTGACTATTTTCAAGATGTAGTCACTGAAGATAGGTCAGTAGGTCGACTTGTTACATACCCACTTTTACTAAGCAGTCAAAACAAATGTTGCACTGTTTTCTTAGAAACTTGCATTCCTGCTGGAGAAAAATGCATTACACTAGGTATCAGTACAGTGTATTCGAGAAACGTAAATCTACCACAAAGTGAATAGGAAGTGTTGAGGTGATTTATTGGCATTATTCTTTTAAAAAAGGAATGTGGAGCTCACAGTGAAGACAGAGAGAATAAATAAGCTTAAAGAATATGTTCCTTATTAGGAATTGTCACTTAAAGGACATGAATTGAAAAACATAAGATATATTGTACATCTTAAAACAATATTAGTAGCATGGGGTTAAACAAAGGATTAACCCATATTAGGACATCAGAAAAAACTACATTATTACACAACAATATGATGAAACCACTGTAACACTCATTCACTTCATTTGTTAAGAGGTCAAAGGTTAAACTGATGAACCTGTACTTTGACCTTTCTGTTGTGTTTACTTGGTTGCAGGAATTCAAGGTAGGTGAAAGGTCTATAGCAGCCTCAGTGAACTACACTGATCAAACAACCGATAAAACCAGTTACATGATGTTATTGATGTCATTATGTCACATGCAGGAAGCAAAAACAATTACTAACTATACTGTTGTACTAAATCACCTATTTTTAATAATGTCACCTATTTTAAATTTAGTACCAGTACCAGTGAATCATTTAGAAAAGGAGCATAACTTCACTTTGTCAAATCTGTTTCCACACACAGTTAATTTTTAACACTTCTTTATTGTTCAGAAATATTCAGTCTTTCCCTTATTGCATAACACTGATTTAACAGGTATCTTCTCAAGCATATTATGGCATATTATGTTGATGATAATGATGATGAAAATTACTACTACTACCAGTAGTAGTAGTAGTAGTAGTGTTTTTTTTTTATTTACCAGTATTTTGTCACACCTTTGATTATAAAAGTAAGATTTACCAACTTAAATCACTAAGGCTTTGGGAAATCACCTGTCTAAAACCTTAAGATGTCTTCAGGAGGGCGTATTTTTGAATCAGAAATTAGATTAGTTTAAGAAGTTTAAAAGCTCATACAACATGGCCTCATGCTGAATCAGTACATTGCGTGACATGATAGTAACATGGGAAGCTCGATCACTGGAGTCCTGGATCTCTCCACTGACAGATGAACCAAAAAGCAGAGTCCGCTGCCTTCTCCAGTGATAGTGTCCAGAAACTTCAATGATTTTATCTCATGATGTCTAATTACATGGAAGCGTGAGTCATAACATCATAAACACTATGAAAGAAAAGTTGCAACACTTCGGTGGCTGTTAAAAAATCTAGGATCTTTTCTAAGTTCCATACACATAAGACCAAAAAAGCCTTAAACCAAAACTCATGACACTAAAACTCATGATAAGTTTAGTTTGTGAAGCTGTATCTTTTAGCAATTTGACAGAATTATGAACTTCTAACTGGGAAATGAATTTTAAGTGTCTCTCAAATAGTCACTCAAACAGTTTGTTCTGAGCCACTGATGCTGAGTGGACAGAACATCAGATATTTTTCTCAGTACATGAGATAATTAATGAATAGTTTATAACAGACATCACTGGAAAATCCAACTAGAAGCAAATATGCAGTTAACTAATAGTGTGCATAACACTGAGCTTTTTAAAAGCCTAACTGTGAGAATCACCTTTTCTTTTTTTTTCTTTTTTAACTTATAAACACAGTTAAGAGTTATAATAAACATAGAGCAAAGGACAGACTAACTGGTAACAGATATTTTCATCCAGGCCATCGCAATAAAAAGTATTCTGTATAAATAAACGTCTGCGTTTCTCTCATTCAAAAGAAACTTACGCGAGGGGTTTGGATGATTAAGGGTTCGTTGGTTCCTAAAGGGGTTCTACATAACATCTTTAAAGGTTTCCCCCAAAGTAACAAATACAAGATAGATTTAACCTAGAGAGTTCACACGATAAAATCTCAGCAGGTGTACATTATTATTATTATTATTATTATTATTATTATATTAATGTTTTTTTATATAAATGTTATTATTTCTGTGCTACTTTGTAGTTTGTGTAACTTTAGTACAGTAGTATGCAACCTTTAACATTGTTGAATGAATACACTACTGTCTATAACACACACACACACACACACACACACACACACACACGCGTCTTTCTCTCTTTCTCTCACCAGAAACCGTGTGGAGCTGGTCCCCTGGTCCACTGCCCCAACCAGCGGTTCATCCGCCATGATATCACCCGGATACACTGTGTGTGTGTGTGTGTGTGTGTGTGTGTGAACAGGTGAGAAGTTACTGTCTCGCATTTATATATCCCCAGCGAGGGCTGCGTGTGTGTGTGTGTGTGTGAGTGAGAGAGAGAGAGAGAGAGAGAGAGAGAGAGAGAGAGAGAGAGAGAGAGAGACTAAGGGGTATGATCACAGCCGAGTTTCTGGTCAGTAATGAAAGTCTGACTTTCAGTCACAACCAGTGAAATTGCAGTTTCACGAAGTGTTGCTGCTGTTGTTGTTGTTTATTTCACAGATTTGTGATTTTGTGTTATAAAATCTAAAAGCGTTTCTGGCACCGATATGTCATTCACAAACGAACCGACTCTTTGAATCGACTCTTTTAGGTGAGCTGAGCCAAATGATCTGATTCACTGTAAAGTGCCAAAATTCCCGTCACTGGTGTTTGACTCTTCTCTGTGTAACTGAGACATCACGAGGGTGCGACTCATAACGTGTTATAAAGCCTTATAATGTGTCGTGTATTGTGGAGGTAAATATTATTATGAATGGACAGGAATCTTTTTCACTTTCTAGTTTAATGGAGGTTAAGGCAGACACAGCAGCACAATAAGCAGGAATTCTCTCTCTCTCTCTCTCTCTCTCTCTCTCTGTGTGTGGGTGTGGGTGTGTGTGTGTGTGGGTGTGTGTGTCCAATCCACATCTCTGTTGCATCATGTGGTTTTGTATTACACACACTCACTGACCTAAAAACCTCAGACATCAGAGAGTCACACCCTCTATCATAAATTTTTATCATGACTGACAGCTAATGACTGACTGGAGAATAGATTGAATTTCTCCTCCTAAATAAAATGTAATGTTTTATTACGATTTTAACTGAAGAAGCATTCTCAAACCAAATCTGAATTTGTCACCTGAATATATAATACTGAAAATAACAACACCAATTAAAGGGAAGAGGGGAAAACAAAAACAAAAAGAAGATAAGAATTTAACCACTCAGGTGAATACACTTGTCCGTTTTAATGAGCTAAACAAATGAAATCTCTTATAGTTCAGTCTGAGGTCACTGAGGCTCATGTGATTGGTCAGATGACCACCAGAAGGGAACACGCCTCTTCATTTTAACCAATAAAGTCACAAAGATTTTTTTTTTATGCAAAGAAGAGGAACAGGTGTGGAGTTTGAGTGGGAGGGTCAATGCAATGAGTTTTTCCTGCTGTAGAGCACCTGATTCAACTCATCAAGCGCTGGTGTTAGAGCAGAAAAAGCAGTAGAGTGTTACTGGGCTCCTAATCTGAGTTGCCCTGGGCAGTGTTTTGTCCAGCAGATGGTGCTGTATGTTTAAGGCAAAAGTACATCGGCGCTTGAGACAGTGTGGGGATTGTGTTAAAATGGCAATATGGGGCTGACCTTTCGATCAGATGACATGTCTTCTATGTGGTGCAATTTCATGCAGAGGAGGAAAGGGATGACTTTGTTCCTGGACCCACCACAAACTGAGGGGACTTCTTAA